GGGGCAGGGCTAGAAGGGGAGCCGGCCACACCCCCATGGGGTCGTGGGGAGCGGTGGGGGACATCACTCAGAGCACAACCACTGTTGGGGTCACTGTGCGCCACGTGGTGACCCTCCCAAGGAACCCAGGTATCCGGGCTCCCAGCCCCCCCAGTCCCATCCCCCTGGCCCTCCCCACCCAGGGGACCCAGGTGCCCCCCTGCAATACCTGGTTGATGGAATCCAGCTGCGCTTCCTGCTGGGCCTTCCGGGCCCCAAAGTCCTTGCCCCCTGGGGGGGCAGGGGGAGCAAAGGGTTAACGGTGCCCGTCATTCCCAACCCACAGCCCCCTGCCCTCCCCAGCCTTGCTGGTGCCCCTCACTCCTGACCTGAAGCCCCTGCCTTCTCTGCCCCGCTCCCGGTGCCCCTCACTCTCAACCTGCAGCCCCCTTCTCTCCCCAGTCCTGCTGGTGCCCCTCACACCTGACCTGCAGTCTCCCTTCTACCCGTGATGCCCCTCACTCCTGACCCACAGTGCCTCCTCCACGCCCTAGTTTCGTTCTGGCATGTTCCTTTCCTGGGAAGAGGAACCATCCCTTCCCCCCTCTCCGGCTGAGCTGTGGGAAAGGGACCCAGGCATCGGGGCTGTTGTGGGACTGGGGGGAGGGGGAACCCTGGTGTCCTGAGAGCTGGGGGGGAGGAAAGGGGCGATGCTCTAGAACCCTGGAAAGAACCTAAGTGCCCAGGACCTGGTGGGGGCGGGGAGAGACTCGGCTCCTGGAAAGACCCCGGCGTCTGGCCTATTGGTGGCGGGTTCTAGAGCCCAGGAGTCCTGGCGACTGGGGGCGGGTCTCGAATCCAGGATAGAACCCTGGCTATTGTGGGAGGGGCTCTGGCACCCTAGAAACAACCCAGGCATCCAGGATGTGGTGAGGGGGGGTCGGAGCCTGGGGACCTGGAAAGAACCCAGGTGTCAGGGCTGCCGGGGCAGAGCTCTAGACCCCCAGAAAGACCCCGGGCATCCGAGCTGGGGGGCGACCAGGACCCTGGAGAGAACCCAGGTGTCCGGGAGAGGCTGAGATGCTGAAGGGCAGGAACGTGGGCATCCAGGAGGGAGTCTAGCACAGGGGTGGGAGGTGGGGTGGCCTGGGGAACCCAGGTGTCTGGGGAGGGGTGGTCACCTTGATAGTTTGGCTTGCAGCTCATGCCTTCGGGTGGCGTGGAACCCAGGCGTCCGGGAGGCTGCTGGTGGCCGCCCACCCCAGCCACTTCCCCCTTCCGGGGCCCAGCACTTCCTCTGCAGAGCCTTGGCTGGGTGGGTCTTAGCCTCAGCTCCAGCCCCAGCTGCTAATGCTGTTCTATGTGGTCAGGTCCCACCCCAGACTCAGCTGCATCTTGGCCCGCAGCTAGGCTGGGAGGAGCTGTGGATGGGAGCAGGGGGAGCCTTAGCCCTGCTAGCTTGGACATCTGGGTTCTGTGACCAGCAGCTTTCGAGAGCCCAGCCAAGAATGGAGCTACTACCTTTCTGTCACCCTCCAGCCTGCCTCCCCCCCAGAAAATCCCACTGTCCAGGCTCCCAGCCCCCCTGATCTAACCACCAGGCCCCACTCTCCTCCCAGGGCAAGGAAAAAACCCAAATGTCTGAGCTGCGGTGGTGGGGCAGGGGGCTGCGAGTTGAGAATGAAGGGCGCTGGCAGGGTTGGGGAAGCAGGGGCTGCAGGTCAGGAGTGAGGGGCACCAGCAGGGCTAGAGGTGGTAGGGGGCTGCAGGTTGGGATTGAGGGGTGCTGGCAGCCTGGGGGGGCAGGGCCAGGCATCCAGGTGGCTGTGGCCGGATGCTGGGGGTGGGGGGGAGTTGTTTTCTGGTCTCAGGCCTCGCTGATCTCCCCCCTGTGCCTTCCTGCCTGCCCTCCACTTTCCATGACCTCACGTCCTGTCCCTCCTGGTCCCTGGAGTCCACCTGGCCCCCCACAGCCACTGGTCCCCACCCTTTGTCGCACCATGGCTGGACTGCTCCTCTGCTATCTCCTAGCTACCAGCTCCGGTGAGTTGGGGGCAATGGCAGGGGGCTGCTGGTTGGAAGTGCGGAGCGCTGGAAGGAGGCTGCAGGGCAGAAGTGAGGGGAACCACCAAAGCCAGGAGAGTGCAGGGGGGCTGCTGGTTGGGAGTGAGGAGCACCAGCAGGGCTGGAAGGGCGGGGGGCTGCAGGTCAGGAGCTCGGGGGTGGAGGGGGTGGAGGGAAGAAGGGGCGCTATCCAGACATGCTGGAAGCTGGATTTTGCATTGAATCTGAAAGAGAGATGCCCATCAAACTCAAAAGAGTCCAGGGCGAATTACACTAGTGCCTTGGATGGGGAGGGAGCGGGGCGTCACAGGGTCAGACCTGAAGTGGGTGGGGGAAGGTGGGGAAGGGGGTTGGACTCGAAGTTGGGGGGAGAGGGGGAGTGGGCTTGAACCCAAAGTGG